ACAAAACAGGTAACTTAAGGGTTTTTTTTTTTTGTTTGTTTTTTTGTTTTTCTGTAAAAGAATTGAGGTTTGGAGAACTTTGTTATCAAGCCAATTAAACTGGTTTAGCAAATTTGATTATTTCTCTAATCTTGATTTCTTGGGTCTAATCTTGACTTGGAATTTTGTGGATTAGCCTGGTCTTGTGTACTGATTGTAAGGCTGGAGCTGAGGCACTGTAGCAGACGCCCCAGGCTGAGGCAATTCCAAGCCTCCCCATCCCAACCCACCGCAAGCTGAGGTAGGCCACCCCAAGCTGTTCTGATGCCTCACAAGCTGTGGTGACCCACCGCCTCCCTCCCCCTTTGGCAGCAGAGAATCCAAAAGGCCCATTGCACCTTCCTACAGAATGCATAGTAGCAAGTGTTTCCCTGCCAGTTCCCCTTTCAGTCTCAGAGCAGTCAGCCCTCTTCCTGCCTGGGGCTGTGGAGGCAGGAGACAAGAGGGCCTGCCACTCAGCAACGACTCAGCGGGAGCTGTCTCTGTGACGCTTCCTGCCTCAGCCTAGGGAACCTGACAACCTTTCTGGCTTTCCTGCTTCAGTCTGCTGCCTTCACTGTGTAACTCTTTGAACACCTGGACACTGTATACTTCATAACCCCTCAAGGCAGAAAAGCGGCCAGACCTCTGCCTGAGCTCCAGCAGCCCAGCCCCCCTCCCCTAGATCTCTGTAACTCATCTCCAGCCCTTCAGTAGGACTCAACCCAGATTATGCAAATTGGAGATGAAAAGACTTGACGAAAACCCACTAATACCTGAGCAGGAAAACCGACCAATCCCTGAACAGGAAAGCCACCAATCCCTGGGCATCCCACAGCTCAGGATTTGAAATCCCACCAGTTCACACTCTGGAAATCCCTGCCCAGACAGCTCCGCCCTCTAAGAATGCCTATATAAGGGCTGGGTTTGCCCCAGTTCTGCGCTGCCTTCCCTCCAGAGAAGAAGCGGGTACTCTTCATTCATCTCTCCAGTAAATCTCTTTTAGAGATTTGCTGCTCGCTGTGACTCACTAGAGGGAAGAAGAGAAGAAAAAAGAAACAAAGGAGCAGAGCTCAGGCTCCTCAGCTCCTCAGGGAGGGGGCAACCCCCCCCCCCGCCCGGGAGCTGCAACCTCTCTGTTGAGGGGCTCCTCTCAGAACTGAGGTTCCCGGGCTGCTGTGCCTCAGGGTACCCTTGGGACTCCTTCCCAGTCCTCACAGTACAGGACTCAGGTTCTCAGCCTCAGAGCTGTGGGTTTCCCACAGCTTGGACACCTTGGATACCTTCCCACCCAATCAAGAAGGCAAGCCGACAACCAGCAACAACAAAAACAATAACACTGATCTTACCCCAGTTGTCTCATTTATTCTCAGGGCTGGGAATGGACTCAAGATGCCATGTGTGTTGGGCAACATTCAACAGCTGAGATGTATTTCCCAGCCCCTCTCTAATTAAGATCTGGACCATAGCTGCCCATGGATAGCTATCTTTTATCAAGTTGGGAAACGCCTTAGAAAACTGCAATGTGAGTGAAATATCACTGAGCTTATTATAATCATATATGTTATGGTTATGTTGGGGATATGCCTTACATCTAGTCATTCTCTTCTAAGCTTCATAAACTGTTGCTGCAGTTTTTCCTGTTGTATACCAGGGCACTTGTTCTTGGTACAAGGCCACCTATTTTGCAGAAGCATTATTTAGTTTACCTACATTTTCCTACATTGAATTTACCATTTTCCTATATTGGTTGAAGAGCAAAAATGAGACAATTCTGTGTTGTGCTTGGCTTGCCTTTCTAAAACTTTGGACCTGCTTCTGCATGTGATTGGTTTTGTCCCAGTGTCTGAAATATATATGTATACATAAATACATATACTAATGAATGACAGGGTCTCATGTAATTTAGGCTGGCCTCTTAATTTGCTGTGTAGCCAAGGATGACCTTGAACTCTTGATTCTCATGCCTCCAATTCCCAAATTCTGGGATTGGCAGGCCTGTGCAACCAAACCTAACTCTAAAATATATTAAATAGAGCAAGTATTATGTACATTTCCTTGTGGGCACATGGAAATATTAAAAACACACCTGACTGGTATAAAAGGACAGGAGGGCTCAAAAAGCCAGGATGGAAATCTTTGATTCTAACAGCTAAGAATCTTAAGGTCTAGAGATGGTGTGTGCCTTTAATTCCAGCACTCAGGAGGCAGAGGCAGGCAGATCTCTGAGTTCAAGGCCAGCCTGGTCTACAGAGTGAGATCCAGAAACAGACAGGGATCTCTCCTGGACATTCCCACCAGCAAAGAAATGCAAATGAACTGGGCCCCTGGTCTCTTTGCTGTGATCTGTAGGGCCTGTCATGACCTCTTCCACGCCACAGGAGACTAGCTGTTGCTGAGTGGAAGGGTGAGGAGAGCACAGGTTGCTGTGAGTTGGGTCTGAGTAGCCTGGGTGAGGTCAGAAGGCTTTGTGACTGTCCCATGGCAGTTCTTGCTCTGGAGTTTCATCCTCTAACAACATAAGTTTTATTACCTGTTTGGGGAGGGAGATAACTTACTTTTCTTAGGTTGCTACTTGACATATAAAAACAAACAGCTCTCACATGAAAGGGAAGTAAAGATAGTTTATTTTGGAGCCTAATAATTTATGTTGGAGGCTAACAGTGATCAGGACCCAGGAATAAAGATTTACGTTACTCCAAATTCCATGTTCAAATGTGGTAATAGTACTACATTTTTCTAAAGACAGAGCAAAGACATAAATCTCAGATTGGTTACAGCAAAGTAGGGGAACCTGCACTGGCCTTGGGTGCTGTCTGCTGTCAGTCTTAGTTTTTATGTTGGTTGATGCTTAGGAGTCTCTCACACTTTCCAAGGGGCTAATCTAATAGTCAAAGGATGAGAATCATATACAGAGGTAGGACACAAACCAAAACAATCTGGAAGTAAGCTCTGGACCTGTACAGTTCCAGGCTCCTCACAATCCAGTCACTGCAGTTCAAACAGTCTGGAAAATGGTCAGAGCTGGTGCAGCTTCCTTCTGGTACCTTGAGCTCTCATGGGGTTTTTGTTTTTTGCTTTTGAGACAGGGTCTCAGTCTGTAGCTCTGGCTTTCCTGGACCTCACTGTGTAGACCAGGCAGGCTACACTTGACACCTACACTTGACTCCTATTGTTTCAATTTAGGGTTTTAAAAAACTTTTTTTTTTTTTTCAGATTTAATTTAATTGGCTATGTATGTCTGTGTACTATGTGTGTGCCTGGTGCCTGTGTAGATCAGAGGTTGGGAAGCCATCTCCTGAAATTTGAGTTACCGGTGGGTGTAAGCCATCTACCTTTTATATTTATGTTGTTACTGTTTTGAGTCACAGTCACTGTGGAGCTAAAGTCGGGATTGAACTCCTGGTCCTCTTGCTTTTGCCTCCTAAGTGCTGGGTAGAGGCGCGTACCACCACATCCAGCTGTGCCCTTTGTATAAAAGAAGCAACTACCAGCTTTTTCTCAACGTGAAAACTGAACAGTAAGCCCAGTCACATGTTTCTGGAAGTTTTCAACAGCTAGGAATGATGGTGCAAACCTGTAATTCCAGTACCTGGGAAACCAAGGCAGGAGGATTTTGAGTTCAAGGCCAGTCAGCGCTCCATACGGGGAGTCTGCCTAAAAATAAAACAAGTCAACCAGATAGTGTAAAGTGAAATTTACTAAAATAACACAGGCTCCCTTGAGATTGATTTTTTTCTTTTTCTTTTTTGTTTGTTTGTTTGTTTGTTTGTTTTTTCAAGACAGGGTTTTTCTGTGTAGCCTTGTAGGACTCACTTTGTAGACCAGGCTGGCCAGGAACTCAATCCGTTTCTGCCTCTGCCTCCCGGAGTGCTGGGATTACAGGCTCATGCCATCATGCCAGGCAGAGTCTGCTTTTTTTCAAAAGCTCTAGCCCCAAATTCTTTCTTTTCTCTTATGTAACAATTTTTGCTTGCTTTTTTGTTTGTCCCTGGGGCTTTAGGCTGGACAATATTGACCTGCCCTGTGACAATGTGTTAGCTGTGGAGCAGCCCCATGAAATTTGGCAGTTTCTACGAGGATCTGGAGCTTATTTCCAGCCAGACACAAGCACCTCCCTTGGGGGCCAGAAAAGTCAAGAGTCTTGACACAGCCTTGTACCCTACCACACACAGACTCAAGAGTGCACTTTCACCCTGCCTTCTGGCGTCTTTAATTTATTTTTGTTACTGCAGGACCTTAGCTCTTTTTAAAGGACAAGGATTTATAGCCCAGGCTTGTCATGATCCCTCCACTTCCCAACTCCTGGGCTTACAGGTGTGTACCATCTTGCCTAGCTTCCCATTTGATCTTTTGTTGTGTTGAAGTTCAACTACCCACCCACCCCCCCAACCAAAAAAAAAAAAAAAAAAAAAAAAGCCTTGTGCATGCCAGGCAAGGATTTTACCACTAGGCTATACTTCTAGCCCCAAGGTTGTATCTAAGTGTGGAAACGTGCCTGAAAGAGGCCCTGTTGTGGCCAAGGTCTCCGACGAAGTCTTACAAAACAAAAACAAAAACGGGATTTAGGTAGGATGCCATGAGTAGATCCTGATCCCCTCAGCTGTTTACTTTTCTAGATAAGGGACCTAGTGCCCCCCTCATTTAAGCCCGACCCCTCCTGTATCACCCCTGAAGGAGCTCCGGCTGCTGTGAAAGAGGCCCTCGACACACACGGAGAGAGAGCACGTGTCGGCACCCCACACACACCCTCCACCCTACAGAAATGTCATTTTACTTCAACTATAGACTGAACGGAGATCCTCCACAAGATCAGGTTTGGATCGACTTCGGGTTTCAGAGTACCGGGAAAGCAGGCTGGGCAGCCCAGCTCCTGAGGGGCGGGGCGGAGCCTCGCTCGCCCACTGTGGGCCGCCGGGAAAGCGCCAGGGGAAGCCCGCGCATGCGCGCCGCCATCTTAAAGGCGTGCCTGTCCTGTCAACTCGTTCCCCGCGCCGGGCTGGCCACTGGCGGGGTGGGGCGGGGTCCGCCATGGCGACCGCGGAGCTCCGCGGGCACGCGGCGCGGATGTCCACGCAGGGGTCTCGGCCTGGCGCGGCCCCCGACGGCACGGCAGGAGCTGCGGGGCTGCCCTCCGGACGGAGCGGCAGTGCCACCCCCCGGTTTGGGGATCGCCCGCCCCCCACCTTGGAGAAGCGGGGACCTTACATGCTGACGCGCGCACCTTCCATTCAGGCTAAGCTGCGTGAGTGCGGCGAGATGCATGAGGGTCTCTGCCCGAGCAGGCTACTGTGGTCGGGGGTTGGACCCTAGAGCCCTGTGATCTTGTCCCCAGAGGGGAAGGGGTGTAGGTGCAGTCCCCACCTGCCCCCGCCCCCGAAAACCTGGGAAACAGCGGAATGGGAAAGACCCAGCTGACCCAGGACGCTTTGACTTCCAGAGAAGCACCGGGACCTGGCCAAGGCTGTTCTACGGAGAAAGGGCATGCTGGGGGCCTTGCCGAACCGCCCCGATTCTTCAGGGAAAAGGTCTCAGTGGGCTTCACTTCCTGTGTCAGCTGCTTCCAACGAAGGCCTATTTCCCCTGCTTGGGAAACAGGCTGCTGAAGTTTAAGGTTGAGCCAGCTCGCTGAGCTGCTGCCACGTTCACCTAAGGGAACTGGGAGGGATGGGGTTGGGGGTCACGACTGGAACGACCTCTACTCTTCCTTTAAGTCTGTGCTAGTGTCACAAAATAGGCTTTGGAATAGGGGAGTTCATCAGCGCGTAATTCATCAAGGGGAGAGACGGTGGCTGGAGCCCCAGCAGTGAGGATGGGGAGCCCCTAGCAGTGTTTGGATTTTTTTTTTTTTTTAACAGAATGGTAAGCTCTCAGAGTTGAATAAAACGTCACATATAGTATGGCTGTTTACGACTGAGTGTTGAAACTCAAAATGTGAAAGGATTTGCCTGAGGTCCTCTGGTTAAAGTGGAGAGATGCTGTTTTCCTAGCTCATGAAAGGGGGAGGTGTGCCTTTCCTAGGTGCTTTCAGTATATTAGGCCAGAACATAATCTGAGGAACCGGAGCCACCTGAATAGAGCAGCAGGTCTGGTGTCTGTGACCAGGTAGAAGGAAAGTCTGGAATGGTCTGGTCTGTTCTTTATGCGTAGGGACCAGGGCTCTGGCCTTCCCTGTGAAATGCCTGTGTTTTCTTCCCCTTCCCATCTCAGGTCAGTGAAGTTTAACAAGGGCTATACTGCTCTTAGCCAGAGTCCAGATGAAAACCTGGTGTCCCTTGACTCTGACAGGTGAGTGCTCTCCTTGGAAATAGTCGGGAGTGACTTGGATAGCACTGCAGATTGCTTGGTGCCTTTGCCTGTTGCCTGTCTCCTCCAGGGCCTCTCGTGATGCACATTCCAAGGCTGTTCTAAGTGCTGTCCCTTGCAGGGATGGCATGGCTGGAAGAGTCATCCTGTCCTATTTTGCTTGCACTTTTAGTGAGAATGACTGTTTCTGCTGAAGTCAGCTGAGGGAGCCATTGGTCCTCTGGAGACTCTGGGCTTGAGCTCTTTGGTGTGCGGTCTTGGCTTCACAAGCCCTTCAGCCCCCCCTTGCATGTTCTCCCCTTGCCATTTGCAGCTGTGCTACACAGATGTCCCTCAACTGATTGTCTTCCTCTTCTCCTAGTGATGGGGAGCTGGAATCCAGATACTCCTCCGGGTATTCCTCTGCAGAGGCAAGTCCAGAGCGCCTATCTGTGCAGTGCCAGGCTGCAGGCAGCATCACCACCACTGCCAAATGCTTGTTTGGTGCCTGCTGTGTGCACAGCATGGTGCTAGATCAGTGTGTTCTCCAGTCTTACACTATGGCTTCTTGCCTAAGAAGAGATAACAGGCATCTTAGGAGGGCTGTTGAAATTCAGCAGAATATATATATATATATATATATCCTCAGGGCTGGAAATGATCTCTAGGAATCCTCTTGGTAAATTCCAGCGAAGTGTTTAGTAGTCTGTGTGCTGGAATACTTCTATGACCGGACACTCACTACATCCAAGAAGCATTGCTTGGTGCCTCCCCGAGCAAACATACAACTCCTTCTTTGGGTAGTTTACGGGTCTTCCTGTTTCTTGCGGCCTGCCTTGCAGTGTCACAAGGTAACTTAAGTCTTTCTTTTCTTTCTCGGAGTCAGCATTCAACCCTCCTCACCCATCTTCCACTAAGCCTGCTTTCTTCAGTTCCATCTCTGGGAATAGCCTGAGCACACCTTTGGGCTGGTCTTTAGGACATCTTTCCAGAATGATTGTCCCAGAGAGAAACCACAGGGACAGAAAATTCTCAGTCAGGCCTAATAGCATGTATAGAGGAGCTGAAGTAGGAACGTGACTGTTCTAGGTAGTTCTTTATTCTCCTAAGAATCTTTGGCTAATCCCAGATTTTGCAAAGGAGAAAACAGCTTGCAAAATGCATCCTCCTTATGTGTCTAAAATACTAAGATTGTCAAAACTAAGAAAACTGCCAAGAATTTCAAGTCTTAAATGGTCCTAACCTCATTGTCTTTCTGCCTGCCAGTACCCTGGAGAAATCAGGCCGACTTTACAGAAGTCCAGTCATGCCAGCAGAGAAGGAACTGGCAGACAAAGCTGCTCCCTACCCGTCTACTGTACCGAATATACTAGTACTCAAGCCCCCCCCCCTTTTTAAGTTTCCTGTCTGCATAGCCTTGGTTGTGTGGGAACTCACTATGTAGACCAGGTTGGCCTTGAACTCAGAAGTCTGCCTGCCTCTGCCTCCCAAGTGCTGGGATCAAAGGCATGTGCCACCACACAGGGCAGCCCCATATTCTTGAATCCTGACTGGGGTATGTGGGTTTCCAGTGGGGGAAAACTGTACACACTGATTTTTAATGTGAAGCCTGGAGAGTTCTCACTAAGCCTCTGGGGAGTTCCTCACTGCTGGAAAAACACAGCAGGGAAATAGTGATCCTTCCTTCTGTAATTCAGGATGTGGAGTTGGCCTGGAGCTAGGTAGAGCGGGGACAGGAAGCTCAGCTGTGGTGACAGGGACCTGACTGTAGGCAGCAGCTCTGAATGCTTTACAGCCTGTTTTATAGTTGTCTCCTCTTCCTTTAGCAGGTGAACCAGGATGTGAGCCGGCAGCTGCTGCAAGATGGATATCACCTGGATGAGATTCCAGATGATGAGGACCTGGACCTCATTCCCCCTAAGCCTATGGCCTCTTCCACATGTTCTTGCTGCTGGTGCTGTCCTGGGGATTCTTCCTGTACCCTCCAGTAGCCGTAACCCTCCATGATGGGCCACATGGCCCTTCACAGCTCAGTGCACTGGGCGCTGCTGCCAGCCTAGAACCGCTGGAGGCACTGACCGTCTGGGCAGGCCAGTGACCTAGGTAGCCCTCAGCTGGTGCTTCTCATGTCAGAGGTTCCCATCTGGGTCAAAGGTGATAGGTGGAAGTCTGCAGTTTTCTCTTGGGGCAGTTTCAGGAAGCCACTTTAATAATGGCAGGAACAAAGACTTTCTTGGTTCTTATGCTGTTGACAAGGGTTGCTAAGAAAACCATTTGCAGACATTCTGACTGGTTTTTCTCAAGGTGTTCTGAGGGAGGAAAAAGAAAGAGTTCTTCTGCCCTGGCTTGGAGGTGGAGGGAGGCAGAAAACAGCACTTTATGGCTTACAGAAGGAAGAAAGAGTATAACTGGGACCAATTCAAGAAATTCTATATGCTTTTCCTGCCCCAGCTTGAAAAGCAGTTAGGAGGCTTGACCTTCAAGAAAGCACCAAGAAGGTTGTTACTTCAGGCTACATCTGTCTAGTTATGGCGAGGAAGGTAAGATGGAGTAGGACTGTGGCTTTCAGAACCTCTAGACTTGGGACATTCTATTGGTCCTGCTGATTGGATGGGTTTAGTAACTCTGGTCAGCCCTTCCATAGTTAGAAGAAAACTTCTCTGTCATGTATATGTTTATTTTTGTAAGTAGTTCCTTGGTCTTGGTTAGTTTTTCCACCTGGATTTTTGAGGTAAAAGTTGGGTTGGCTGCCGGGGCTGGCCCCAGAAACCTGCAGTTTTTGTGATTACCAGCAGAGGGAGCTGGTGTGCAGTCAGTGCCTTCCTGTGTTCAGCTTTTAAGCTTTGGATAAGTATTGATGGATGAGAGCTGATGTTTCTCATGTAGCTGTATGGCTTTGGCCTACATGGAAATAACAGGATAGGGAGAGAGATGTAAAACAGCTCCTGGACCCCACTTGAGATAGATCAATTTGCAGTGCAAGGGGGACTTCCCTCTCCTAACAAGGCTCATTTCTGTGGCACATTCATCTGCCCCAACAGCACTCACACGCTGCAGGTGTCGCTCTGGTAGAGCATTTGCCTAGCATATGCAAGGCTGGTGGTGGGGCGCACAGAACAAAGACCTATGGGCAAGCACAGCCCTTTTCAACCCCAAGCCTGAACACAACAAACAGGAATAATTTCTGCAACCACAACTGGGAAATTTCTCTTGCTATACTAAGCCCTTTTCTGGAATTTAGTTTTCCAGGACCCCCCCCCTTTTTTTAATCTTACCTAGGTGTGTGGTGAGGCTTGGAGTGGAGAGGGTTTCCAGCATAAGGGACACAATAGTCAGAATTAGGGGTTGGGTACCACATGTGTGTCCTGTCCAGTGACACTAGAGGCTTAGGAGGAATGATATGCCCTCTATGGGCTTTCCACAGCGGTAGCAGAAAGGATAAGGTCAAAAGATAAGGCCTTCAGCCAGATGCAGTGGTGCACGCCTTTAGTCTCATCACCCCAGGCAGAGGCAGGTAGATGGATCTGAGTTTAAGGCCAGCCTGGCCTAAAAGTCCAGCATATCCAGGACTACACAGAGAAACCCTGTATCGAGAAGCCAAGAGAGATAAGGCCTCTGCTACTTAGTCACAAACCTGTCCTTATGATTGCCTAGGTTTTTGTTCTTAGGCCGTGGAAGGCTGAAATGAGTAATACACTAGTGGCTTTTTCCTCAACTATTACAGGACAGAAGATGGGACAGAAACCAGAAGCACATCTGCTAGGTTATAGATGCTAATTATGTTCTGCAGTAGAACTCTGCGGCTGTGTAGGCATCTCACATTCTGAGCACTTTATGTAAGGCCTACAGGGAGGGCCACAGACCAGGTCTAGGCCTTCTAGAATTCTGCAGAGGTGAAGACCTCACATGGAAAGGGATAGATACATCACAGTGTAAAGACTTGGTGGCAGGGCTTAGGTGAGGGCCAGAAGTGAGTGTGGATCTTAAGTGTGGAGCCTTGTTTCTGTCAGAATTTGGTTAAAACAGTGGCCTGAGCACTTGACAGCTCCTGGTGGGGAGAATACCCCCCAAAACATACCCTCCGGTTGTTGCTTTAGTCAACATTGAGGTACTTGACTAGAACTGTCCCTGGAAAGGAAGTTCTAGAGCTGGGTGACCTTATGGGAAAGCATTACTTGTGGAGAAAGCTCAGGGATGTGGAGCAGGTGGTGATGTCCAGCTAGGATAGGTAGAAATGATGAGTTGTTAGATGAAAATAATGCCAATAAAGGCACAATGGTGCCCAGATCCTACCTGCCTTAATTAGAGTGCTGGGTGTTCCGCAGGAGGCAATCCCTGGGAAGGAAAGCAGATGAGCTCCTCAGCAGTGGTTCCACCTGGAGTTCACACTGCTCTATAGACCTCTCTCTTGGCTTGCACTTCTATAGTCTGTTATAATAAATGCAATCATGGTAGTTGAGCTGTACTGTGTTGCAATTTTTTTCTCTCTCTTCAAGACAGAGTTTCTGTGTATCCCTGGCTGTCCTGGAACTCACTTTGTAGACCAACCTGGCCTCAAATTCAGACATCTGCCTGCCTCTGCCTCCCAAGTGCTGGGATTAAAGGTGTGCACCACCACCCAGCTTTGTCTTTTAAGTTTATCTTATGTGAGGGCACAAGACAAGCAGGCAGACGCAAGAGCCCATGGAAATTAGACAAGGCATCAAATCCCTTAGAACTGGAGCTACAGCTGGGAGGCACCGCATGGGAGCGAGCAACCAAAGCTAGGCTCTCTGCAAAAACAGCAAGTACTGTTAGTTACGGGGTCATCTCTCCAGCCCCGGTACACGACACTAACCTGAGCTACACGAGAGCCTCAAAAAGACATAAAAGGGAGGGGGAGGATGGCTCAGCTGTTAAAATGCTTACTGTGCAAGTATGAGAACTGAGTTCACATCCCCAACCCTTCTACCTCAAGCACCCAAATAAGAAGCCAGAGGTAGAGGCACACACCTGTAATCCCAGTTCTGGGGAGGCCAAGACAGGAGACCCACCAAGGCCTGTTAGCCAGTCAGCCTAGCTGAATTGGTAAATTCCAGGCCAGTGAGAGAGCCTGTCTCAAAAAAAAAAAAAGTGGATGGCGCTTGAGGAATAACATGGAGGTGTTGTGCGCACACTTGAAGCCATGATGAAGCTGAGGCAGGGGCTGACTCCAAAGCTAAACTTCAGAACATGAGGACAATCTCAAAAAAAAAAAAAAAAAAAAAGTAAGCTAAAAGAGCAGCCAAGGCCCACCTGCAAGCTGTGTATCCGGGCTGCAGCTGGCTTCCTCTCCCACCCTTCCTATAAAAGGCTGGAATTCAGCCTGCCCACCCCCAGGAAGCTGCATGAAGTAGAATTAAAATCAAAATTGGACAACATCAGAGTGCTCTTTCTGCCCACATCAGGGACAGAAATACCAAAGGTTGACTGCTCTTTAGTCTTTATCCTCAACACAAGTGATCTTTAATGACTGACAGAGCGAGAAGGAATAAGCTTCAGTATTCCACTGGCCTACCCCTTCCCTTTCCTTCTCTGCAACTGAGAGGGCAGGCAGTCCCAGGGCAAGAGCTCTGTTCTTGGACAGTGCCTTGGCTGTCCCTCCGGATGGATGCTGAGCTAATGCTGGATGATGCACATTTTGTTAGCCTGACTCATTAAATGGGGCAGAATGGTTGCCTTCTGAGTGGACACACCTGGCTCAGAGGTAGCGGAGCAAGGAGTGTTGAGTACAGTGGAGTGACAGGCCTCAGGCTTCACACAGATCCCTCATCTTGAGCATGCTCTGGAGTCACTAACGCCAAACTTACTACTTCTATTCCAGCACGCACCCAAAGAGTGCAAAGTTGGAACAGGGATCGTGCTGGACCTGAAAAGTGGAGCCGGCCAGGATACAGGTGACAGGCAGGGAGACTAGACACTGGTCTCTACAGCAGACAGCAGGCCCGGAAGAGCAGCAAATCCTTGGGTACGGTAAGTTTCAGTGAGACACTCTCATTGGCCCCAATGAAGAGCACTCCACCACGCTGCAAAGGGATTTCTGTTTGGACTGTGTGTGTGGTAGCTGTCACTGTCCCTTGGACCATCAAAAGAATGCTGGCAGAGTCAAGTGCTGAGACTTTGTATTCAGTGACAGAGCCAGGGACCTGGTAGAAAGAAGTGATGGTAAAGTTTACACTCTGCTCCTGGGTTCAAAACCACCTCAAGGACCCCGCTGCCCCCTTCCCCAATGTTCAGGCTCTTGACATCATGGAGGCCCACATCTGGCCCCCGGCAGAGAAGCAGATGGGCACTGTGGCTGCTCCAACTAGGTGGGCTGACAGGAAATCCAGCCCCAAGTGTATCTCTGTAGGTTTAACATGCTACACAAAGGGTACCCCCTAGGCCCACCTACTTACCTCCATCTTCATAACAGTGAAGTCTGGCACAGGGGGGTCATAGAGAGAGAGATAGGGGTCATCTGGACTCCGTTTTGGAATAAACAGCCTGTCCTTGCTGGGGCTAGGTGTGTAGTTGAGCATTTCACACAGGGTTGGCACATCAATGAATTTGGGTGTCAGGCCAGCACGCACAGTGTTGTCTGAACATGCCATGCATTCCACGCAGTCTGGGGACAGATAAATGTCATTTGCTAAGATGGTGAAGTAAGCCATACAGTTTGGCTCTCCAGGGCTTGGCCTCCTAATGTAGGCCATGTGAATGTCTATACATGAAGTTAAAATGTGTGAATAGCATTGTGGAAGAATATGATGACAGTTAATAGGCATCAAAATTATGTTAACCCCTAAATTAACATGACTTATCTTGCACTTCTGCATAGACCCTTGTGACTAAACTGCCAACAGTCAAATGGGACAGCCACTCAGACATGGCGGTTCATATCTATAATCACAGCACTCAAAAGGCTCAAGTAGGAGGGCAGCCACACGTTTGAGGCCAGCCTGGGCTACAGAGTCAGACTGTCTCAAAACAAGAACAGCAACGAAAAGGGAGCCTCACTGGGTAAAAGTACTTGCTATGCAAGCATGAGCACCTGAGTTGAGATGCCAGAAACCCACATTAAAGCTGGGGTGTAGCACAAGTAGTTGTAGTTTCAGCACTCCTAATGGGGGAGAGGAGAATTCCTGGAAGTTCACAGGCCAGCTAGACTGGTGTATGTGGGGGTGGGGGACAACAAAAGAGACCCTCAAAGCAGAACGAGAATCAAGCCCCAAGCTGCTCCTGAGCTCCACATGCATCCTGCACAGACAAATGTCGTCCTTTTGTTGCATCACCCATACTTTAGTGTAAAATCTCCAGGCAGATAGAGTTGCTGTGCAAACACAAACGAGAAGACAGGTAAGAGCAGCCTTGTTCAGTGTAGCTCTGCTCAAACTGATTTCAACAGTCGTCAGAGGGGCTCAACATCAGAACTGTGGCTGGTGGCAGATTGTAAACATTATCTAGCACCCAACAGGCAGCCCCCATCCACACTGCTCGACCACCCTAACAGCAGGCCTCACCAGCCATCCTCTTTCATCCACAGGAATAAACAAGGTCCCAGGGATGGCAATGGGGCATACTACTAAAATCCGGCTCACCTCCCTTCAGGTAGGCATGGGGCACGTTGGCCTCCAGAAACATAGCTTCCCCAGGCTTCAAGGTGATCAGGTTCAGGAAGTAGATGGCGAAACATCCGATATCACCCGGATACTGCTGGTGGAGCTGTAGCAAGAGCGTCCCACAGATATCCTCCATGCTGTTTCCGGCAGATACTGAGGGTCACAGAGCATCCCAAGGCCACTAAGACATACATGGTATCTACGACTTCACCCTGACAAGGGAGTCTTGGTGAACCGTCCCTGCCCATAAGAGTGCAGCATTTATGCTAGGCCTCTCCTAAACATCCCTCATCTTTGCACAAAAATGCCTTCTCTCACCTCAACCATCCTCATCCTGGCCTGGCTGCAGCAGCTGGGCATTGTAGTGCACAGCTGTAATCCTAGCACTAAAGCAGAACAATCACCATGAGCAAAGGGCACACTGGGCTATCTACTGAGTTCTAATACTTATGGCCCTGTCTCAAACAATACAGGCTGGAGATGGACCTCAGTTGGTAGAGTACTTGCCCAACATGCATGAAGCCCTAAGTTTGATCCTCACCCCCACAAAAAACCAGGGATGGTGGCATGTGCCTGTGATCCCAGCTGGGAAGTAGAGGCAGGAGTGTCAGAATTGTAAGGCCATTCTTGGCCATATAATGAGTTTGAGGCCAGCCTTGGTTACAAGAAACCTTGTCTTCAAGGGAGGTAGGAAGCTGGGCAGTGTTGGTACAAACCTTCAATCCCAGCAGTAGGGAGGCAGAGGCAGGCAGATTTCTGAGTTCAAGGCCAGCCTGGTCTACAGATCGAGTTTCAGGGCTACCAAAAGAAACCCTCTGTTGAATAAACAAAACAAAAACAAAAAGGAGTTAGGGAAAAAATATATGAAAAATATTTAAAACACAGATACCACTATCTTCAGTTCAGATTTTGACAAAAACATCTCCAGACAATTACTCCAAAACAATCTCCTGACTAGGGACCACTCACTGTCCTTGAGCTCAAAATCTATTATAGATACGGAGATAACCCAACCAATTCACGAAGTGCCAAATTCCCTATTAGCCAAGGACCTCACCTTTGTGAGCACTCACACTCCCGTGTCTCAGGAACTCTGTCCATCCTAGGCAAACTGGGACGGCTGTCTACCCACAAGAGTACAAGGCAGACCAAAATGTACCCTGGAGACTGACCAAGGGAAGATGAGCTCAGCCTGGGCTGGAGGGGTGAAGGAGGCATCTTAGAAGGGTGGGGGCGGGGTGAGCTGAGTCTCCTGGAGCATGCAGAGAAGGGAGGAGTGTATTCAGAATATGAAGGAACCACAATAAAGAAAGCAGTGTTCCAAGTGGGAGGGCAGTTTGTATCTTTATACAGAGATTTGCTTAGTGGCTACTCTGCTCAACACTGGGACAAACATGAAGTTCTCTGGCCTAGAGAACCCTGGTTTTAACAAGTGAGCACATAGCTCAAAGAGGTCCCTGCACACCTGGATGTCAGAACAGAGGTCAGGCCAGGGTTGTCCAATAACATGCAAGCAGATAAGACACTTAGAACCACTACAACACAAAACAAGAGGGTATGCTCCATCAAGAGAGTAAGGCTCTGGTGCAAAGATGACACAGCAGGGACTTAAGCAAAGACTGAACCAGAGAGGGTTCTGGGGCTGCCTGGAGGAGCTGGCCTATCAGGCAAGGAGCTAAGACCTCATCGAGGAGCTGCCACATAAGCTCCAGGCTGAGTCTGCCAGCCTTCTCGCTGTGTACTGACTCTTCAGGCCAACAGTGACCACCCCCACTCTAGCCATTTCCTGCACTCTGCTAGGACAAGGTTAGACATCTTGGAAGGATTTAAGAAGAGCTAATGGTTA